GTGGCGGGGCGTGGCGGGCCGTGGCGGGCAGTCGGGGGCCGTGGTAGAGCCGGTAGCTGAGTCCTCCCGGGCAGCCGTTGCAGCCAGGAGTACCCTACCGTGCTTCGCATGTCACGTCCCCTTTCTGTCCTCTTCTTGCAGACGGTTCAGAGGCTGGCGACCTTCCCGTCGACTTCTCCCTGGCGGCGTCCGGCGGCGCTAGCTCCGTGGATCTGAGCAGTGTTCCCGACGACGGTGACCCGGAGGGCGAGGCGTCCGACTGCGAGATCGACGTCGGCGGACCCACGGGGACGCCGTCGAGCCTCCAGCAGCAGCCCGGCAGCGGCGGTGGACACGGCACGGGACACGGTCCCGGACACGAGCACGGGCCAGACAAGGCAGACTCGCTGTACGTGCTCAACCAGTACCTGCAGCACCAGCACCACTACGGGCCGCGGATCATCCGGTAGGACGCCGACGCCGACCTTCGACCACTTGAATAAATCGAATCTACCGGGCCTTGCCGACGTGTCAGCCGACCCGGGACACCACTGGGAACGTTCAACTGGACACATTCTCCTAGTCAACATCATGCAGAGTGCCACTTAATTGGCCTCTGGAATAATTGTGATATTGTAGAGGTTTAGTATTATTTATTGCTCTTGTAAATAAACTCTTCGTAAAAGCCAAAGTATTAATAAGATATCTTATAGAGGCACAATTTTGTTTCCCTCCTTGCTGTTATCGTTACGAAATGAACAATAATTCTTTTATTTGTCAACTTCTTGTACCTTTGAAAGGGGCATGACATTTTTTTAAAAACCAATCTCCCTAATGTTACGCCTTAAGAAACTTCCGTTAACTATATTTTTGAATAGACGGGCAACCAACAGGCTACTTATTTGCCTTCGTGCACCGAGAATCCCTTATTGGAATTGATTATCGTGCCCACAAGATTGTTCTGTGCTTCTCGCAAAGTGTAATAAAATTACGTTACCCTGAACTCTGAAATTTACTTTCTCAGTTCCCTTTGTAATCTTTTTGCAACTAGAAAAAGGATTACCATTGAAACGGCATGGCTATAAGTCAGCTTCATCCGAACCGGCCTGCCCCCACACCCAGAAAAAAATAGGGAGAACGACCCTTACCCTTACTATGGCTCCTCACACCGCATAGTCGTTGGCGATTTCGGTGATAGCTCGGGAACAACCGCTTCTGGCCACAGTGAACACAACATCAACAACATACTCCCGATGAAAATCTTCGATTTTGATTTTTATAAATGGGGGACTACTCTCCTTAGACCGCAGCCGTCAGGCCAGCTTCATAGGTCTTATAAACGCACTCGGTATCACAGCAAAAAAAAAAGTGAACGGAAATGCCTTTTTCTCACTGGATATACAAAGCCCATACCTCGGCCCTTACTACGTGTCCTGTGGCCCTAAAGGATAATTAAGCGACGATAGCTTGATCCCATCTAGGCGAAATTTAACTTTCACCTCGATTTTCGGGGTGTTCAAGAGTAGTACAAATTCTTTTGATATGATATTTGGATTCGGAGAGCTCAAATTTGAATATACTTACGTGGTCGTCCAGGGGACTTGGTCAGCAGCAGTCAGTTTGATGCCTTTGGCCGGCCAGCTAGAAGACATAGCAGACGTCTACATGGTCTCTCTAGACGTTCTCTAGATATAGCATTTCTGGCTGGGCGGGTCGTTTGTAGCAACACGGAAAAAAATATGTTATCTATTCCAGCACAACGTTTGCTAGGACAACTAACGTGTTTGCTGTCAGCGTGACAAGCAAGGTGTTCGACCAGTACGACAACATATGTATTTGTTGAATACGCTTAATTCTTAGTTGTGAGAAACGAGAAAGTTTGTTTTTTGTAGCTACATGCCCCTAAGCTCGTGTGGCTAAATTTTCTTATCTGTGTTGGATGAGGCATGTTGTGTCCAGCAGCCAACAGCCACAACAAAATATGTATGGGGTGGGCCAACTAAAGATTACCTCACCAACTACTAATCCCTCGATACCTACCGCGGCTTACCAGAGTTTGCTTATGGCAGCTTACGTCTTGTCTGGTCAAGCGAATTTTACTAGCTGTTAGGGCTGAAGCCCAAACATCAAGGTTGTTTTCCGAGTGCCCACTTGATGCTTGCTTTTCATCCCAGTTTTAACGCGCGCAGTGACTCAGTGCCTCCGAGTTGGAGCGCAGCGCCGATGGGCGAGGGTTCAACACCCACTCGGGTCGGTTCTAATTCCTTGTTAAGGGCAGTAAAAGTGAGGAAGGACCCACCCTAAACAACGTAAATGGAACAACTCTGCAAAAATTTAAGTTTTCACTCTAAAAAATAATACAGAATTCTGTATCAAATTTGATACAGAATTCTGTATCAAATTTGATACAGAATTCTGTATCAGGCTTTTGTGATATGGAAACATGTAACATGGGTACAAAATTCTGTAATCTGATCAAAACGTTACAAAATTTCGTAAATGTTACTAATTTCTGTAACAGATACAAGATCAATTAACGTTGGATACAATTTTCTGTATCCCTGGATACAGAATTATGGAACTTGGTTGGCTCGGTCTCCGGGAGCCCCGGTGGCATTACACCGGGTTCCAGCGGACCTCTCCTCAGGTAGCCTGGGTGGCCGCGCGGGTAAAGGCGCGACTTCCTAATCCGAGGGTCTTGGGTTAAACTCCCGGTGCGGCAAGGAGCATTCCTTTGAATTAAATCAAAGGAGTTAGATCCCCAGAAAAAAAGAAGAGGAGGAAAGGGAGGAAGAGTAACAAGATAAAGAATTACTATTTTAAAATCCCAAAGAGGTTCTGTATCAGGTGATACAGATTTTCGTATCCATGTTACAGATTAAAATCTGTATCAAAAATGATACAAATTTCTGTAACATGTGATATGTAAATTACTGCGTAACAATGTTACAGAATTTTGTACTGATTTTTTTTAGAGTGTAACATCTTATATATACTTTCTCCCGCATTAGTTTTTACAGCTGACGTGATTATCTGCTATAGTAAACATCGCTTGGCTCTCACAGACAGAGATTAGCTCTCGCAGCTAACGCATTGCTTGTCACGCTGGCAGCTACCACATTAGCTATCACAGATTACTTATTTTTTTCCGTGAATACCTGTGTACATAGCTATACGAACAGCTGCCAAAGTTCTCTCAGTCCCGCCGAACGCCTACCTGACCTGCACCAAGCGCGCCGAGGATGTCAGATATCCTCGTAGATATCAAAAGCACGTACTTTCATATTTTGGAGATAGTATGTACTAAAAAGAAAAGAGCAGGTGCGTTGAATTTTCTTATTATTTGGGGGCATGATTATGAGTTGTCCTCATTCTCATTCATTCGATTTTGAAAAGTAATTTTCACTTAATTTTTAAAAGAAGCGTTAAAAAACGCGCAATTAAAGACCCCCGCCCTGTAGCGGCTGGCACTGAGCACCTTCGCATCTCTTTTGACTAGAGTGACCGACCGCGGGCGCGGGGGTGCGCGATAGCGCGCGCCACGGTACAGGGGGGAAAATCAAGAAAAGCTCGATGATTACACAAATTTGCCTCACATTCTTCTTTAAAAGAGGCTCATCGTTTGCACGCTCCTTCAGCAGGTTCCCTTTCCAGTGATGCAGATCATTAAGAACACAACATTTCACCCTCACGTATTTTTTTAATTAAAATAAAAATATGCTTTCGTCTGTGAAAAGGGTAATTAGGACAAGAAGTCGTAAGGTGCGACAGAAGTTTGTACCCAAGGAAAGGGAGCACGAGCCAAGAGTGTCGCCCTCATCAGATTTTCGTTTTTTCTTCTTCGCAGTTCCACTCAGGACGGGGTTATTCACCACCTCACTCGCCTCGCAGCGGGCAGGCAGCGGGCGCCCGGGCCGGGCTAAGCTCCTATGGGTATCGGGCGGACAGGGAGGGGGGGGGGGTCCCTTTTGCCACTTGAGGGGACGTTTTCCCGAACCTTTCACCTCGCCCCACCCCACCCCACCCCGCCCCACCCTTTATCTAAACGGCGCATTGTTTGAGGGGTGGCGGGGCGGGCGGGGCGGGGCGCCTCTATTGTACGGCGCTGGCACAAAAGGTGCTTGTGTTCTCCGAGGGCCTGGACCGGGCCGGCGGGGGGTGGCGAGCAGGTGAGTGAACAGGGCAGAGGATAACACGTGATGTGATATGGCAAGCTCGGAAAATGATTTCACAAACTTGAACCTATCCGCGTTATTATTTGTGAGTTTGCAGGCATTACAATTTTGATAAAACGAAAAGGCCTACAAAGGCAGTTATTTGCGGAGCATGGTATATCAAGCTTGCGGTGCCCCCCTGCCCCCCGAATGCGGGGCCCCTGGCCGTGTTTGGTGGATGCATTTGATGGAGGTTGTGGAGTGGGATGGGGGGGGGGGTGGCTCAGGCCTCCAGCCGTTGAGTGCTGCGGGGGAGGAGAGGTGATCTAATTCTAGATGGCGCAGGGGACGGTGGAGGGG